ATTAACTGAAATGAAAGAGATCTTCTTGATTGGATCATCTGAAGCTGGAAGACACACCCTAGATGTGGGTGTTACCTTCTGATGGCAGTCAGTATAGAAGGCCAAGGCAGAGGAGAATGCCAGGCTTCTTGCTGCTTGACTTCTCTCTCGCTGGTGAGTTCATCTTGCTGCTGTAGACTGAAGACTAGCTGATCTTTTGGAATTTGTCAGACCTTCAGACATCCAGCCTTGTGGACTTAGTGACTACAGATTCTCAGCTTCTCCAGTGTGGTGCAGCCATTGTTGGACTACTCGGACTCTATCCTGTGAGCTAAGCTGATAAATCTCTATACATATTCATTCTACTGGTTCTGTTTCTTTGGAGAACCCTGACTAATACACCTCTGATCCATGATCTCTAATGAAAGGCAGTGTCCAGATGTCAGAATGGTTGCTGATTAGGGACAGGTGACAGAAGTGGTACCTACTCATTGTAGCTAAGGCCCTGAAGGCTGGTAGGGGAGAAAAGAGAAATTTGTACTCATTTTATTTCTTACCTAGGGCATGTTTGTGGGCTCTCAGTAGAATTCAAGAATAATCTCCCAGAGTAAAATTTCATTGCAAGTTTCCTTTGGCTTATCTAAGATGAAAGGGGACAAGTTTTCCCCTAACTTGTATAGTTAGGGGAGCTCAAATAATTTTCAGAAAGAATTTAAATAAGTAAGTCTTAAATGGGGGAAGTCTAGCTAAAAACTATTCATTCTTCCTTAGGCAGATTTGCAGGAATTGTCAGCAAGAGCTATAATTATACAGATCACCATGATTTAGAACAGTGCACATAATCTACTAGAATTTTCTGTTCTTGTTCCAGGTCTAATTGAGGATTTTCTTGAGAATTCTCCTAACAGATGTGCCCTTTTAAGAGCGTCTCCCTACCCTTTTACCATCTTAATCATTCATTGAAAGATTGCTATTTTGGGGTGTTCCCAGATATATCTTTGAACCATAATTTGTGTGTGCTAGTGTGTTTAGCCATAGATGCATCTGTTCCTGCCCACCCACAAACAACCCATGATAAAAGGCAAAGTGAAGTCCTTTGAAAGTTTGCTTTCTGAAGATGACTATGAAGGTGAAACCCGTCTTCCAGATTTTGTTCTCTGCTCCACAAAGTTCTTACTTCTGGGGTTATGGAGTGTCCACAAACAGGAATCATGGCTAGGTAATGAGGCAGTAGTCTGCCTGCAGTTCTAAGGAAAGAGTCCCTGAGGGTGCGTGCGATCAAGCTGCTGTAAGAACATATGCAATAGTCTCGGCTTGCCAGTGCAGCTGAAAAGTTAGGGAAAGCCTGGATGGAAGGGCAGGAAGGACTGATAAAGTTTTATTTTTCTCCACAGAACTTTCTACAGGGGCTGCTCACCAAGGACCCTCGGCAGCGTCTGTCCTGGCCAGACCTCTTACATCACCCCTTTATTGCTGGTCGTGTCACCAGTGAGTTATCGGGGTTCCTGGGGCTCTGGCACTTGCTAGGATTTTCTCCCATCTTCTTCCCTCCCTCATTATCTGGATTTCATGTGCTTTCTTAACTCTCCCATCTTGGACTTCCTTCTAGCCCTTGGCCTAGCTTTTGCCACTCCTGCTTTTTGTTACTTTGTCAAAATGACCTTTTTCCATAGGGGTCTGGAGACACTGAAGTTGTCGCTGGCCAAGTGGACATGGTGGCACTAACCCTAAAATAATCATTTCTTTCCTCTCTGCAGTAATAATGGAACCAGCAGGCTCAGATTTGGGCACTCCATTCACTAGTCGCCTGCCCCCAGAACTTCAGGTCCTAAAGGATGAACAGGCCCATCGGCTGGCCCCCAAGGGCAATCAGTCTCGCATCCTGTACCAGGCCTGTAAATGCATGGCTGAAGAGGCCAAGCAGAAGGTGTGGGGACCAAAGGAAAATAGGGAACATATTCACAGTAGTGATGGGGAATTGGAGAAGGAGGTGACTTTCTAGAGAATTGAAGAAAGAACATGAATAGGTTCCATACTGTCCAGATAGTTCTGATCTATTGTCTCCTACCCACCTCTCATAGAAAGACCAGAATGCAGTACCTTCCCTGGAGCAAGAGAATAGGACCAGTAAGGTGTTTCTTGGTGCAGCTCCTTTGCCTGAACTAAAGGCTCCTCCTCAGGAATCCAGCCTCTTGTCTGGTATCGTGGCCTCAGAAGTGAAAAACAACTGGGAAGAGTGGGGGACTGGAGAAGCTCCCCCTGCACCTCGGTGAGAAGGGTTTGTGGTGGAAGGAAGTTATCTTGAAGATGTCTGGCTACAGCCAAAGCAAATATTAAATAGTCTCTGCCATGAACCAGTGCCTAAATATAGACAGAGCTGTAGGAGTCTGAGACCTGGGTTCTTGGGTTCTAATTATGGATACTTTCTTGATTCATAAGGAAACTTGAGAACTTTGTCTTCATGTCTTAGTTATTCTTTGAAATTCTATCACAAAGAGAAGATTATTTGAGTTGAAATTCATAGATGAAAACTACTTGAGAATATAATCGAACTGGGAGGGAAGTCAAGCATTTGTGTGTGGAGGCCAACATACCCTATATAGCCCATAACCCCAAAAGAAAATTTCCTCTTTCCTGAGTCTACAGGAAGATACTAAGTAATGAACCCTAAACCTCACAGATCTAGAACTCATCTTATTCCCCTACTTTCTTTGGCAGAGAAAACCACGTCACCCTGGATTGTGAACAAGCATTCCCAGAGCTGAGGCCAGAGGTGATTGTCCAGAAGAGCATTGATGCAGTAGACCTAGAAAATGAGGTAGGATAGTGGGTCTAGATGAATGCTTTTCTAGAACAGTTGGAGCTTTCAATATAAGCTCTCTTTGTATTAAAAATGAGTTTATTATCATTTTATAGATTTTAATTACATAATGTCTGAACATAGTATTCTCAAAAATGCTGGGCGTGGTGGTGCACGCCTTTAATCCCAGCACTTGGGAGGCAGAGGCAGGTGGATCTCTGTGAGTTCAAGGCCAGCCTGGTCTACATAGTGAGTTCCAGGACAGCTGGGGCTACAGGGAGACCCTGTCTCAAAAAGACCAAAAAAAAAAAATTCTCAAAAGTAGAATGCACACGTGAAAATGAAGGTTCTGGATTAGGTGTTGGCACATGCCTATAGTTCCAGTTACTTGTGAGGTAAGGGAGGAAAATTACTTGAGTTCAGGAATTTGAAACCAGCCTGGGCAACATAGCAAGACCTTGTCTATAATGAAAAAATATTGGCAGCAAGGTATGGTGGTGCATGCCTTTAGTCCCAGCACTTGGGAGGCAGAGGCAGGCAGATCTCTGTGAGTTCTACAGAGATCCAGCTGGGGCTACAGGTAGACCCTGTCTCAAAAAGACCAAAATGAAAAAACGAAAAAACATTGAGGCTCTCTCTTGAGCCTTTCCTTGTTGGGCCCCCGGTCTCGGGTACCCAACGTCCACGGAAGGTCGCACCCCAATGACTCAGTCCCAAGACCAGGAGATGCAACATGCAAGAGGATTTAATCATTTGCGCAGACGGGCTTCTGCCTCACTCGGAGAGAGAGCAGCAGCCCAGAGCTCAGCTTACAGGCTTCTTTTAAAGGCAAAAACCACAAACCAAAACCGGCAGCAGTGGGAGGGGGCCGGCAGCAGTGGGAGGGGGAAGTTTCAGGTGATTTTCAGCTTGTGCACAGAGCATGAAAAGGTCAGCTTTTTCTCAGCAGTTAGATTTTACATCTTACTTCTTTTCCCAGAATATTTCTCTTTTGATCTGGGGGGACTTGGTTTGAATCTACTTTGATTAGTTTGATTTCATCATCCTCAGTTCCAAAGCTACCATTACTGTTGATATCCTTCCAAACCTTTTGTACTTTTATATGTATGTATATGTACCCAGAGAAAGTGTTTATTTTATTTACATTATTGAGTTTATCCTGTACACGTTGCCTTACCTTGTGCCTCTTTTAGTAGATGATCTATTTTAGGCAGGCAGAGCTCTGTGAGATTGAGGCCAGCCTGTTCTACATAGTGAGTTCCAACTGGGGCTACAGGGAGACCCTGTCTTCCAAAAAAAGAGTAATTTTGAGAATACATAGAATTCCTTTATACCCTTGGCTTGGTCCCATTTTGTGCTACCAAAACAGAGTGCCAGAGCCTTGTGTAATTTGTAATGAATAGATATTTATTTTTTAAAGTTGTGAGGCTATGAAGGCTGAGATGAACAAGCCGACAGTTAGTGCTCAGACTCTATGCTTCTAAGATGATCCCTTGGCTCCTTTCAGGGGAGCAGTGCTACATCCTCATGTTGCAGAAGATCAAAAGAGAGTGAATGTCTCACTCCTGCAAACTCTTCCTGGTTATGTTTTGAAACACTTTTTCACTGTGTAACCCAGGATGGCCTTGAACTCACAGTCTTCCTGCCTCATCTTTCTCAATGCTGGGTGGGCCTTCCCTGTGATTATATTTAGCTATGTACTTTAGGAGAAATACTATATAAAGGATACATCCTTGGTACCACAATCTTTTTAAATACCTCCCAGTGTTTCCTAGTAGGGATAGACCATGGTTTGTTATTCCCTTACTTACTGACTTTATGATATTTCCATGTTTTGTCCTTATTAGCCATGCTGCAGTGGACATCTTTGTTGTATCTCTTTATGCACACATACCAGTGTTCTCCAAGGGACTTTTTAAGACCCTTGCATATTGTTCACTATGTCTTTTTTGACTGGGGCCTGAAGATATACATCTATGCTGAAGGAGCCGCTAGCTGCTTGCATTTACTCCTTAACTAAGTATCTAATCTGAAGTTGAAATCTGTGACCCTGGCACTTATATCCTCCTCTTGACCTCTTTCACTCCAAATGCCCAGGAGCCAGACAGTGATGATGAGTGGCAACGCTTGCTAGAGACCGCTGAGCCTGGGCCCATGAAGCTAAAGGCCCCTCTCACCTTGCTGTGTAATCCTGACTTCTGCCAGCACATCCAGAGTCTGCTGCATGGGACTGGAGAGCAGGTAACAGGCAGAAGGTACTGTGGAAGAAAGTCTGACTGTTTTCAGAGATGAAGCATTAAAAACCATTCACTAAGCTGGCCATGCCGGCGCTAGCCTTTGATCACAGCACCTGGGAGGCAGAGGCAGGCAGATCTCTGTGAGTTCAAGGCCACCTTGGTCTACATAATGAGTTCCAGGACAGCTGGGGGCCACAGGGAGACCCTGCTTCAAAAAACCCAAAATATATGTGTGTGTGTGTGTGTGTTATGTATATATTATTCGGGACTGGAGAGATGGCTCAGCAGTTGAGAGCACTGGCTGCTGTTACAGTGGACCTGGGTTTGGTTCCCAGCACCCAAATGATGGCTAACAACCTCTTAATATTTTAAATACTTAATTTATTATTTTTATCTTATGTGTATGAGTGTATTGCCTGCATGTATGTGAGTGCATCTGTGTCGTGTAATGCCATGGAGGTCAGAAGAGGGCTTTGGATTCCCCTGGAACTGGAGTTAAGGACAGTTTGTAGTCACCATGTGGGTGCTGGGAATTGAACCTGGGTCCTCTGCAAGAGCAGTCAATGCTCTTAACTGCTAAGCCATCTCTCCAGCCCCTATTTTTATTTTTTATTTTATGTGTATGAATGTACCCATGTCATGCAGTGCCCACGGAGGTCAGAAGAGGATGTCAGATCCACTGGAACTGTAATTATAGATGGATGTTAACTACCATGTGGGTGCTGGGAACTAAACCTGGGCTCTCTCCAAGAGCAGCCAGTGCTCTTAACCACTGAGTCATTTTTTCAGTTCCATCATGGTAAATATTTGAGGCGTTATAGGTCAAGAAGCAAAAATGGAGATTCTGATGTAAGTACATATACAATGAAGAAAACTGTTTACACAAGTTTTTAAAATATTTTTATTGAATTTTTGTGATTTTCATATTATAATTTGATATTTAGATCCCCTTCCCTATTCCCACCTTTTATTATTGTCCCCTACCCAATTTAATGTGTGTGTGTGTATATATATATATATAATAAAGCCTATATAATCTTGTTCATGTCCCCAAATGTCCTTCAGTGTGGGCCCATCCTCTGTAGCCTGGTTAACCTACCAAGAGTCCCATCCTTGAAAGAGGCTGTCTCTGCCCCTCCCAGCAGCCATCTGTTGCCATAATTTCCCTAGAGGGGTTGGAGCTTCTTACTTCCTCATGTCTGTGCTGGGATATTTTCTGGTTTGAACTTACATGGGACTTGTGCGTGCTGTCACCATTGCTCTGAGTTCATGTGAGTAAACGACCAGCTGTCTGGAAAACTCTGTTTCCTTGTCTTCATCCACCACTTCTGGCTCTTACAGTCTTTCTGCCTCTTCTCCTGCAATGATCCCTAAGCCTTGGGAGCAGAAGTTTGACATAGGTGTACTATTCAGGGATAAGTGCTCTACAGCCTCTTATTCTCTGCATGTTGGCTAATATAATTAAAAATATAATTGTAACAATATAAAATATTTTATACTGAAGGCATCTGATGGGAAGAATGAGATTTGTTTTGCAGGGGCAACATTTTACTCAGCATTAAAAGTTTGAGTTCTTGCTGGGCGTGGTGGTGCACGCCTTTAATCCCAGCACTTGGGAGGCAGAGGTAGGCAGATCTCTGTGAGTTCGAGGCCAGCCTGGTCTTCATAGTAAATCCAGGACAGCTGGGGCTACAGGGAGACCCTGTCTCAAAAAGACCAAAAAAAAAAAAAAAAAAAAAAGTTCGAGTTCTTTCAAAGCCATTCTTTGCTTCTCTGAAACAGTGCTTTTCCTTCCTAGGAACTTACCAAAATGTGTTGCTTATACTTACACTCTCTTTTTATGCTTGTATGTAGTATTATGGTTGTATATGTGTACGTATATGTTCATGTGTATGCATACAAATGTACTTGTGCATTACGTTTGAAGGCCAGAGGTTGAAGTCTCGTATCTTCCTCTATCACCTTCCATCTTATTTTTTTGAGACAGTCTCTCACTGAACCTGGAACTCACTGATTTGGCTGAACTGGCTGGCCAGCAAACCCCAGGGATCCTCCTGTCTATACCTCCCCAGGACTGAGATTACTGGTACACTGCCACACCCAGCTTTTTACATGGGTGCTAGAGAGCTGAACATGGATCTTCATGTTTGTGTGGCAAACACTTTGCCAACTGAGCCATTTCTCTAGTCTCTTCTCTTCCTTTAAAGTTTTTTTTAAAACAATCTATGCCGGGCGTGGTGGCGCACACCTGTAGTCCCAGCACTTGGGAGGCAGAGGCAGGTGGATCTCTGTGAGTTCAAGGCCAGCCTGGTCTACATAGTGAGTTCCAGGACAGCTAGGGTTACAGGGAGACCCTGTCTCAAAAAAAAAAAAAAAGATACAATATATGTTCCATAAAATTTACTGATTTGAAATATACAATCAGAAAATTTTAATAAATGTGCCAACTTGTGAAACTATGGCCACAGTCTGACTTTAGGACATTTCATCACTCTTCATACCTGTTACCAGTCAGTCCCTAGGCAGCTACTGGTTTATATTCTGTCTCATCAATTTACTTTTTCTGAACATTTCATATTTTGGAAGCATATAACATGGTCACTGTGACTGGTATCTTTTGATACTTTTGAGGTCCATGATAAAGTGCATACCAGTATTTCATTCTTTTAAAATTTTAAATTGTGTGTGTATATGTGTGTGTGTGTGTGTGTGTGTGTGTGTGTGTGTGTGTGTGCAGTATTTGCAGAGATCCTGGAATGAACCTAGGGTCTTACATGTTAGGCAAGCATTCTGCCTCAGAGCTTTACCCCAAGTCCCTTTAATTTCTTTTTTTTTAAAAAAATGTTTATTAAGAGCTGGGCGTGGTGGCACATGCCTTTAATCCCAGAACTCTGGAGGCAGAGACAGGTGGATCTCTGAGTTCAAGGCCAGCCTTGTCTACATAGTGAGCTCTAGGACAGCTGGGGATACAGGGAGACCCTGTCTCAAAAAGACAAAAAAAAATGTTTATTACATTTATTAATTTGTAAGTGGAGGGAGGTTGGGGGATGGGTATGCCATAACAGAGTTGTAGAGGTCAGAGGACAACTTGTGGGAGTGAGTTCTCTCTTTCCACCATGTGGGTTCTTGGGATGGAACTCAGGTCACTAGACTTGGCAGTAAGCATTCTTTACTGAGCTATCTTCCTGGTTCCAACTCTTTCATTTCTTTTTATTGCAGAATGATATTCCATTATATGGAAAAATATTTTATATATGCATTTACCAGCTGATGGACATTTGGTTGTTTCCAGTTTTTTATTTGATTTTTATGAATAATAATGCTGCATTCACAAGCAGGTCTATGTATAGATGTGCCTTCATTTCTCTTGATCTGGTACTGAGCAGTAGAATTGTTGAGTTATAGGGTAAACTTATATGTAATATATGAAGTAACTGCTGAGATATTGACCAAAGTGCTGTGCCATGTTATATTCCTACCAGCAACATTTATGATTGCCTGATTTTCTGATTATTATTTTCTGATTACTAGTCTTCCAGTAAATGTGGAAATTATAGCTCATTGTCATTTTAATTTGCATCCTTACTATAACCAATGTTGAACATTTCATGTGCTTTATTGAGCATTTGTATATCTTCAAATCTTTAAAAATTTATTTTATTTTTATTTTATATGTATATGTATTGCCTGCATATATGTAAGTGCACCTGTGTCATGCAATGCCTGTGGAGGTCAGATGAGGCATCAGATTCCGCCTGGAATTGCAGTTACAGACAGTTGTTAGCTGCCATATAAGTGCTGGGAATTGAACCTGGGTCCTCTGCAAGGACAGCCTGTGCTTCTAACTACTGAGCCATCACTCCAGCCCCACATTGATTATTTTTTAGTATTTTACTTTTATTTTATGTGTATGAGTGTTTTGCCTACATGTATGTAAGTGCACATGTGTGAATTGTCTGTGAGGGCCAGAAGAAGGCGTCAGATCCCCTAGAACTGGAGTTACAGAAGGTTCTCAGCTACCATGTATGTGTTGGGAACTGTACCCAGGTTGTCTGCAGGAGCATTAAGTGCTCTTATCTGCTGAGCTATCTCTCCAGCACCTACTTTATTTTAAATTATGCACATATGTATGTGTCTTGGTGGGTATGCGCACATGAATGCAGTTACCCATGGAGGCCAGAAAAGGGAGTCAGAGCCCCTGGGGTTGTGGTTACAGGTGGTTGAGTGCCACCCAGTATAGGTGTTGGGAACTGAACTCAGGTACTCTGCAAGAGCAATATGTACTCTTAACCACCGATCCAACTCTTCAGCCCCCTTGATTATTTTTTTAAATTGATTTCTTTTTGTCTTCTTATTGAGTTGTAAGAGTTCTTTTTCTATCCTGGGTACAAGACTTTTATTAGATAAGTGGTTTGCAAATCCCAATCTGTAATTTGTCTTTTTATTCTCATAAGAATATCTTTTGAAGCACAGTGGTTTTAAATATTTATTTATTTTCTTATTGCTATGTAGCTGAGAAACTCCCTGTGCAGCCCATGCTGGCCTCAGGATCCTCCTACTTCTGCCTCCCAAGTGCTGAACTCCAGGAACCATGTCTGACAAGATTTTGAATTTTGATGATATTAAGTTGTTAGGTTTTTTCCTTTTGTAATTACCCTATTGGCATTATATAAAGAAATATTCTCCAAACCTAAGATCTTAAAGATTTTCTCTTTTTTTTTCCTAAAAGTTTCTTAGTTTCAGCTTTTACATTAAGGTCTATGACCCATTTTGAGTTAATTTTTGTGTAGAACATGAGGTACTGATGTAAGTTTATCTTTTTGCATATTTTTGAAAAGCCTGTTCTTTCCACAGTGATGATATTGGTTCCTTGTCTTTGTCTTCTGGCTCTAACACATTGTCCTTCTAGTGCTGGTGTTTCTACTGTGAGGAAGCAGTCTCTCTTCAGAGCTAGGCATGAGTGGTGAGCACTTGTGGTTCCAACAACTTGGGAGTCTAAGGCAGGATGGTTTCTTTTTCTTTTATAAAGACCTATTTTCATTTTATGTGTATGAGTGTTTTGCCTGCATTTATGTAAGTGCACCATGTGTGTGCCATGCCTGCAGGGGCCAAAAGAGGATATGGGTTACCTTGGAACTGGGGTTACAGATAGTTGTGAGCTGCTGCTGTGGGTGCTGGGAACCAAACCTGGGTCCTCTGCAAGAGCCCAAGTGTCTTAAACACTGTGCCATTTCTCCAGCCCCCAGGGTGATTCCTTGAGTCCAGGAGTTTGATGCTACCTTGGGAAACATAATAGGACCTCTGTCCTTTTTTATGGAGGGGGCCACACATGCCATGGTGAATATGCAGAAGTCAGAGGATAACTTTATGGAGTTGGTTCTCTCCTTCCACCTTTATGTGGGTTCTGGGGGTCCAACTCAGATCATCATGACTGTGCAGCAGACACTTTGCCCCCTGAGCTGTCTCACCAGCCCAGACTCTGTCTCTTAGAAAACAAAAAGGTCTCTGGCTTTTGGAACTTCCTAAGTTGGAATTCCAGAAAACCTAGCTATATGATCTTTGACTGGGTACTTACCCTATGTAGATGCATCAGTTTGCTCATCTACAAAATGAATAGTCCTCTTTTCTTTACATGGTTATTGTTGAGAAAATAAATGCCAAAATTTAGAACTGTGAACAGCATAATTTAAGACATTCAATGTAAATGTTATTCTTTTGAAGAATAGCCATTTAAAGTATAATACTGAGCCAGACATGGTGACACATACATTTAATCCTAGCCCTCAGGAGGCAGAGACAGGCAGATCTCTGTGAGTTCAAGTCCAGCCTGGTCTATATAGGGTGTTCCAGGCCAGGTGAAACTACAGGGAAACCCTGTCTCAAAAAGTATATATAATACTGTTCTTGGGGCTGGAGAGATGGCTCAGCAGTTAAGAGCACTGACTGCTCTTACAGAGGACCCAGGTTCGATTCCAGCACCCACATGGCAGCTATAAACTGTCCTTAACTCCAGTTCCAGGAGAATCCGAAGCCCTCTTCTGACCTCCGCGGCATTGCATGACATGGGTGCACTCACATACATGCAGGCAACATGGTCATACACATGAAATAAAAATAATAAAATTTTTTAAAAATTTGTTTTTAAGATTCTTTTTTTTTTTTAAATGTGTATGTGTGTATTGCCTGCATGTAAGTGCACCCATGTTGTGCAATGCCCTCGGAGGTCAGAAGAAGCAGTCGGATCTCCTGGAACTGGAGTTAAGGACAGTTGTTAGCTGCCATGTGGGTGCTGGGATTCAAACCCAGGTCTTCTGCAAGAGCAACCAGTGTTCTTAACCATTGAGCCATCTCTCCAGCCCAAAAATATTTTTTTAAAGTATATATAATACTGTTCTTAAAGCACAGGCTGTATATGGATAAGTCTTAGGCTAAATTTGACACATGGAATATACATTATCAGCCTTTGCTCTAGAGTTGAATGAGTTTTTGTTTCTCTGGAGTTATATAACATTGTTTTGTATCCATTGTTTTTATTTTTCAGAAGAGGTGTGTGTGTGTGTGTGTGTGTGTGTGTGTGTGTTTATAAATCTTTTTTTTTTATTTTTTTGGTCTTTTTGAGACAGGGTCTCCCTGTAGCCCCAGCTGTCCTGGAACTCACTATGTAGACCAGGCTGGCCTTGAACTCACAGAGATCCGCCTGCCTCTGCCTCCCAAGTGCTGGGATTAAAGGCGTGCACCACCACGCCTGGCCCATAAATCTTTTAAAGTATTTTATTTATTTTTATTTTATTTGTATGAGTGTATTGCCTGCATATGTGTAAGTGCACCTGGTTGTGCAATGCCCACAGAGGTCAGAAGAAGGCGTCAGATTCCCTGGAACTGGTGTTAGAACAGTTGTTAGCTGCATATGGCTGCTGGGAATCAAATCTGGGTCCTCTGCAAGAGCAGTCAGCGCTCTTAACCGATGAGCCAACTCTCCAACCTCATGTGTGTTTTTTTTTAATTGGAGAGCTGGAGAAAGGAGGGAACAGACAGTAATGGCACTAGGCTTGATGGAGAGATCTTGAGGTCCCCTGCCCCTTGGTTACTGATGTTCTGTCAGGTAACCTTCTGTATTCATCTTCTCTAGTATAGTTTCCCTGTTTCTGTGGTCTTCTTCCTGGATTTTAGACTCCTCCCAAAAGGAATGCAGGTACTGGAGAGATGGCTTAGTGATTCAGAGCACTGGCTGCTCTTCCAGAGGACTCGGATTTGGTTTCCAGCACCTACATGGCAGCTAACCAGGATTGTAACTCCAGTTCTCTGTGGGCATTGCACAACATGGGTGTACTTAAATACATGCAGGCAAAACATTCATACACATAAAAATAAATTTTTAAAAATTTAAAAAGGAATACAGACATTTGGTCTGCTTTGCCACCTCCTTGGAGACACTTGGTATTTGTGGATTTTCTTTGTAGACCTATGATTATACCAATTTCCCTCATGTTCCCCAGATCCTGAAAGGTGTCCTAGAGGGTGCTTCCCACCTCCTTCCTGTACTCCGGGTCCTGAGCAGTCTCCTATCCAGCTGCCATGACTCTGTGCTCTTATATTCCTTCTGCCAGGAGGCAGGGCTGCCTGGCCTGCCTCTCAGCCTACTCAGGCACAGCCAGGAGAGCAACAGTATCCAGCAGGTAAGCACCAGGCTAGCGGCCTTTGAAGAGCAAACAGGTGGTCTTTTTCCTTGGGCTTCTGTCCTTCGAACTACCATCTCTATTTGCTGGATTGCCTTTTGTTTTCTAGTCTCCCATTTCTAATTACTGGACCATCAGTTGAAAATTCTGATGCCTTCTGGGGCTAAACAAGTATCAGTCAATGATGCAGGCTAGGTATACAGCTGTCTAAGTAGAAGAGAACATGATAGACATTGTATGCCCAGTCTAAATGGGACATTTTCTCAGTTCTGGCCCATGGTTGCCATGTGGAAATTTGAGCCAGTGTACCAGATCTAGTTTCCTAAGACAAGATTAAAATTCATGTTTATTCAATGGATAATTTGCCAACATTTAGAAGTGTTTGCTTTGGAATGTTGGAGCCTAGACTTTATTGCCTGAGTTTATAGAGCAGGATACTGAAGTTCAGAGATTAACTCCTACAGTCACCAGCCTGTAAGCGACCACATAACAGGTAGAAGAACTAGGATTAAAATTGTATGTGTTTGGTGCCAAACCTTTACTTCCCCACACTGGGGCCTCCCATAGCTGGGCTCAGAGAACAGGGAGTAAGGGTTGATGGGGGCTAGGCTAAGGTAGCTGGGATGCTGTACTCTGATGATAAGTATTGAATCAGGCAACTATAAGCAACTGAAAAAGATAGTGTTAAGAAAAATAGTACTCCCTCCTCTCCAAAATGCTGTTCAGGCCAAACAAGACACATTTCCTGGTGGTTTATGGCCCATTGGCTGACACTCTATTGGAACACTGTTGACCTTTGTTTTTCCCTGTCCCTTTCCATTTGGGTATCTTGGCCAGGTTGACTGGCAGAGCTGCATACCTTTGATGCTGCTTTTTCTCCTCTTGGTGTCCATCTCTCATGTTGCCCTTTTTCTCTTTCCTTCCTTGGCAGCAACCTTGGTATGGGGCTTTCTTACGGGACCTGGTGGCTGTGGTTCAGGCCTACTTTTCCTGTACCTTCAATCTGGAGAGGAGCCAGACAGGTGACAGGTGGGAAAAGAGAAACTTTTGTTCAGTTTGCCTTCAGTTTTTGTCTGTTTGCCTTCAGTTTCTGCTCCATTTCTTCCTCTCATTAGAAGAGGCCAATTGAGAAGTGGTGATGTGTGACAAGGTTAGGGATTGGCTTGAGTCCTGAGACATTTACATTATAAGAGGTAGCAGTTCTTCAGCACAGATGGGTCTTAATGGAAGGATCAGGTGTAGAAATGACTAAGAAGGACTTGGATGCTATCTCTCTCTCTCTCTCTCTCTCTCTCTCTCTGCATGTGTGTATGTGTGTGTGTGTGTGTGTTTTAGTGGCAGAGAAAGAAGGGAACATTCTGATATGTTCCTTGGCAAAGATTCTCCTACCTTTCAGAACGGACCCATTCACCATATCTAGGCTTTAGTGGAAGAGAAGATTCATGGACTTATTTCTTTTCCCAGCCTGCAGGTATTTCAGGAGGCTGCCAACCTATTTCTGGACCTGCTGGGGAAGCTGTTGGCCCAATCAGATGACTCAGAGCAAGCATTTCGGAGGGATAGCCTTATGGTAATCTATTCCTCTCTCTCTCTCTCTCTCTCTCTCTCTCTCTCTCTCTCTCTCTCTCTCTCTCTCTGTTTCCCCTTTCATATGACTATAAAGGGTCAGATCAAGTTAATACAACAAGCATTTGTCGAATTCTCACTATGTGCCATATGAGTAAGATGAAGTCTCCATCTTGAAGAGACTAAAGATAGTCAAGCAGAGAAAATGAAAAGTTTGTTTGAACTGTTTGTATATTGCAAAACATCTCTAAAGAAGAAACCATGGATGCTATATAGAGAGTCCTCAAAATATCTTGAAGAAGTCATCTGTGGTAAGATCTGAAGATTAAGACTGGAAGAACATACAGCAGTTTGCCAGGTAGATGAGGCAGGAAAGGAGAGAGGTCATTCCAAATAGAAAGAACATCATATCTCAGGCCTGGAGGCATTAAGTGGTTTGGCATTTATCAGGGGACCATAAATAGAAGTGACTTGCATTTCTAGTATTTCCCAACCTTACTTGTGCTAAAGACTAGTAAATGACATAGGTTCTTTGCCTCAGACCCTGAGGTAAGGACAGGAGAATTCAGGATTGAATGAGAAGACAACTAAATTGTCACTGCTCTGAGAGAACACAGAAACTTACATGCAAGGATGTAAAGCATTACTTGGCAATTGTTCAAAGTAGTAATTGGGAGCACAGATGTGTGCTGAATTCCTGCCTCCAGCTAGCAGTGTGCTGGACTTGTAGTCCGAGATCCTGGTTTTGTGTTCCTCATCTTTCAATTTAGGAAGCTTTGAATGTCTAGCCTGAATTTTGACCGGTAGTCAGTTGCTCTTGTGATTGGCCAGCATTTGCCATATCTTTGAGCACTGAGTACCATGGGGAATTTGGAACAATTGCCCCTCCTCCCGAAATTCTGAATGTTTATATTCATGGTCCATGGATCATACTTTTGGAAACACTGTCAGGGAGATGCTGGCCAGAAATAGAAAGACTGACTGGGCAGATGTATCTTAGTGGTAAAGCAATGGGTTCAGTCCCAGCACAGAGAGAGTGGAGTGGGGAGGGAAAAGAAGAAAATGAAAAGAGAAGGAATGACACCAAAATTCTTGTCCTTCAGACAAGGAGGCAGTTGATGCATTTTTCTGTGCAAGTTATGCTTAGAATTAGACAGCTGTCTCCTGGGGTATTATCCCCTTTCTTGGGTTCTTGGCCTGATGCTGCCTCCACCTTTGTTTTCTTTAGTGTTTTGCTGTCCTATGTGAAGCTGTGGATGGGAACAGCCAGACCATCTCCAAAGCCTTTTACTCCAGCCTGTTGACCACACAGCATGCCGTGCTTGACGGGCTCCTTCATGGCTTAACAGTTCTACAACTTCCTCTCCACACACCTCCAGGTAATCAGACTTCTTTGTTTTATAGGTCTGGCTTGACCCTTCCTACTTCCATCATCTAGAATGGTGCCTTGTTCTTGGTGGATGTTAGAAAAATGTAAACTGGGGAATGGGGATATAGCTCAGTTGTTAGAGTGTTTGCCTAGCATGCACAAATCCCGGCATTTAATTCCTAACACCACACAGAACTGGGTATGATGGCACATGCCTGTAATCCCAGTACTCTGGAGGCAGAGGCAAGAGGATCAAAAGTTCAAGGTCAAAAATTAAAATAAAAAAATTAATTAATTGTTTTTAAAAGTTCAAGGTCATTCTCAGCTATATAGCAAGTTTGAGGCCTGCCTGCACACAAACTGTCTCAAAAAGCCAAAAATTAAAAAAAAACTAAACTGAAAGATAATGGGTAATCTGTGAGAAACAACTAGATCTCACCAGTATTCTTTTCCCTTCTCCACAGGAGCCCCTCAGGTGAGCCAGCCACTTCCGGAACAATGTGAGGATCTACCTGGGGCTGTTTCTTCTGCCCTGGCAGCCATGTGCACTGCTCCAGTGGGACTACCTAGCTGTTGGGACGCCAAGGAGCAGGTCTGAGCTACAAGTTCCTCCTCCTCTTGTTCCAGGAGTTGGAAAGGCTGCCAGTTTCTTAGAGATAGAAAAATAAGCTTTTGAGATTCTCCTTGCTCAGATTCCCAAAACAGATAATCCCACCCTGGTCTAGGCTACTTGTTAAGCACAGTGTAGCCAGAATTTCAGGGTGCTGGCTACCTGGTGAGGATGAAGGCACAGCCATAACTTCCCAGGTGATGGTGCAACCAATTGAAAGCCATCATGTTTGCCCAGGGGCTCAGGATTAAATTTCCCTGCTCTGTGTTGCTAACGCTTTCCTCTGTACCTATCTACATTGAGACCAAACTAAGGCAAGACTCAGTTCTCTACCAGCCACCGTCACTGGGAATAGAAGGGGATCTAAGGTTCCTAGTGAATCTGAGAAGAGGGCCTAGCAAGAGACAGAGAGTCCTGGTCAATTGGAGATAAGTAAGCAGTGGAAGTGGAGTAAGGGAAATAGGATGGAATCTTCTAGTATGTCTCCCTAGATATCTTGGCATTTGGCAAATCAGCTGACTGAAGACAACAACCAGCTGAGACCATCCCTCATCTCTGGCCTGCGGCATTATGTCCTGTGCCTCCACCTTCTCAAGGTACTTCTTTCCCTCAGCACCAAACACCTCATAGGTGTTTCAACTGAGGGAGGGAGGAGAGGGAAGGAAGAAGCGAAGGAAGGAGAAGACAGGGAGAGAGAGAGGGAAGGAGGGAGGTTGGAGGGAGGGAGGGAGGAAGGGAGGAAAGGCCTCCTTTCTGCCTATAAATCTGTTTAACTGACAAGTGTCCCCCCATCTTACAGCTCATAGAAGGTCATTCTCTTCCACCTTTGTGTTAGACTTTATATTACTGTGACAAAGTATCTGACAGAAACAACTTAAGGGAGGAAGTTTTCACAGGGAGAGCATGGCAGAACAAAGAAGCTCACACCATAGCATCCAGAAAACAGAGAGAAAGAATGTCTGCCTGTGGTATCAGGTTTTCTTCTTTTTCCTATTTAATCCATGCAGGTCCCCAGCCTGTAGGCTGGTGCCATGTACAACCAGGATGGGCTTTCCCTGCTTAAGCAATCTCTTTGAAAAGGCTCTCACAGAAATACTCAGAGGTGTGCTTTACTTAGGCTCTTTTTGTTTTTTTTCTGAGACAATGTCTCTCCATAGTCCCAGCTAGGCTGGAACTGGCTATGTAGACCAGGCTGGCCTTGAACTCACAAATCCATCTGGCTCTGCCTCCGGGGTGCTGGGATTGAAGGTGTGAGCCACCATCCTTGGCTACTTAGGCTCTTCTTACTCCAATCATATGTATTGTAGTCAAAATAATTATCACAACCCCCAAGTGTGGACACCGGCTCTATCAAGGGGCTTGCCTGCAGTTCAGCTGAGCCTTCCTTTGTAGGGGCTGCTCTGTCTACTGACAGACTCCTTCCTACTTCTCTAGGTTCTCTACTCCTGCTGTTATATCAGTGAACACCTGTGCCGTATTCTGGTGCAAGAGCCCCTGGCTTTGGAGTCCCTGTTGATTTTGGTTCAGGGCAAGGTAGGCTGCTGACACCAACATGCTCTGACATCTTATGGTGGCCCCTATCTCACCCATAGTTTGTTCTGATAGCTCAGGTTTCCTTTGTAGGTGAAAGTAGCAGATTGGGAAGAGTCCACTGAAGTGGCACTCTACCTCCTGTCCCTGCTTATCTTTCGGCTCCAAGATCTGCCTTCTGGGTGAGTCATAAGTCAGGTCTCTCCACCAAGGTCTTCCCACAAAGCTAACCCTGATATATGGGGAGTGGTACCTTTTAGCTTGTGCTTAGAAGGGACTGAGACAGAGAGAGTGAAGTTTCTCCACAAAGCACAGACCTGGATTCCTACCATCTTTGGGCCTTGGAGGTAGACATGAAATGTAGGTGAAGAGCACAGTCCAGGGGAGGGGAAAATACCCTTACCGGCCTGTTTTTGACCCTCTGTTGTATCTCCCTATTGCAGAATGGAGAAGCTAGGCAGTGAGGTTGCTACTCTTTTTACCCACTCACACGTCGTCTCTCTTGTGGTGAGTTTCTAGCCTTCTCCCTTTTTTCCTTCATCAGTCCCTCTTGGGAACAGGCAGCTGTTCCTGCCGGCATTCTGGACATGGCAGGAGCATCATTCAGGTTCAGATGGTCCTTCTCTTCCTCTCCCTTTCTCACAGAATGCAGCAGCTTGTCTCTTAGGACAGCTTGGTCATCAAGGGGTGACCTTTGACCTCCAGCCCCAGGACTGGATTGCTGCAGCTGCGCATGCCCTGTCTGGCCCTGCAGAGGTAAGGCATACCAAGGAAGGCCCCGGCATGTGTCCTGTGCATCAAACACCAGGACAGCCCTCTTAAGGAAAGGCCAAATGGAGTGCAGGAACCCTTCCCTTCCTCTCCTTTGCCCCCAGATAGTGGGCTGCTCTGAGCCAGGACTGATTAGGGGCTCAGATTGTTTTTGGTCTTTTTGAGACAGGTTCTCCCTGTAGCCCCAGCTGATCTGGAACTTACAATGTAGACCAGGCTGGCCTTGAACTCAGCAAGATCCCCCTATCTCTACCTCCTAAGTGCTGGGATTAAAGGCGTACACCACCACACCTGGCTAGGGCCTCAGATTTATTATATACTGGACTTCTAAAGATGGAGGCAGGGACAGGAAGGAGGAAGAAAGGGGGCCAACAGGTTATCTGAGCCAGTTATCTGAGGCGTGAGGTTCCCCTGCAGGCGCTCATGCTCCTGTGGCTGCAGTCCTTCCTGCTGCTTTGCCTCTTCCCTTCCTACTGCAGAGTCCACCCTACTTTTTCTGTTTCTCCTTAACTGACATAGAGAAGGGGCTGGCACCCTGTACATTATTCAGGAACCCCGGCCATTATGGCCTCCTTGTCTGCTTTCTCCCGTTCCTTTTCAGACCCTTTGGAACTCTTGTTTCCCTCATTTTATAAAAAGGATAGACTTCATAGTCATATAATCATTATCCTTATATATACAGAATTCATCATACTTTATAATGTACACATCATATTTCCCACAACACACTTGTAAGATAGACATGGCAAATGCAGTAGCCAGCACCTGCTTGTCCTTGATGTTGACCTGCAGAGGGATCTTGTCACCAGCTAAAGCACTAATATTCACTCAGAAGCTCCTCTTCCCCATTATCCCCATCCACATGGTTCTCCCAGGTCCCACCTATGCCACCTTAAGAACTGTCTCTGTGTTTTCCTTCTGTGGCACCATCACCGACCTGCCTTGGTTTATTTGTGTATGTTCTCTCTCTAGCCTTTGGTACTTGCCTCGGAGGATTTCCCCTCTGTAGTCTAGTCTCTTTACTGCCATCAGAGTAGGCTTTTTAAAGAAAAAATACAGCCATCCGCTCAAGCAATGTTTATTGAGCACAAAACTTTGTGTTGAGTGCTTTGCACTATTCCAGATTCTGAGAATAAGGCAGTGAATAAGAGACAAAGAAAAGTTGCTAATGTGGAGCATAATTCATTCTGTGTAAATCTTTGCTGGCTTCCCACTGCTTCTAGGAAACAGTCTAGACTCTTTAGCCTGTTACAGCCCATCTGTTGCCTATGGGTTCTATAATCCAGGTGTACCTAGAGGGTTGTCATTCCAGAATTTACCATGAACTTCAGTGCCTACCTGCTTTTCTGCATGCTGTGCTCTGCATGTCTTAGAATGCTTCCCCTTTCTACTGTCACCTTCTCTTGTCTGTCTTTAAATTTTTCTTTACTTACTTTGCATTGCTAAAGATCTAACCCAGGGCATTACACAAACTTGGCAAATGCTCTCCCACTGAGCTATCTCCAAACCCTCTTTAAAGCGTTGACTATATCTGTAAGCTGAGAGTGCCATGAGGCACCTCTCTCACCATTTTGTGCAGCTGTTGGGAAGTCACAGGATATATATTTGAGTGTGCACAGCCATTAATGAGGGGTGCCCACTCTTCTGTAAATACCCCTCCACCCTCTGTTCTGTTAGCAGGCCCAATAAACTAGTTAGTATTAAAAAAAAAAAAAAAGAACTGAGCTCATAGAAACCTTCATTAGTCCACCAAAGTTGACCCCATGTTGGCAAATGCTTTGGTCTTTGATTTTTTTTTTTTTTTTTTTTTTTTTTTTTTTTTTTTTAGAAACGATTTTTTTAAATTGATTTAACTAACGAATTCACTGAGTGGAACGGACTGGCCTCGAACTCACAGAGATCTGCCGGGCTCTGCCTCCCAAGTGCTGGGATTGAGAACATGTGCCATCACACCCAGCTTTGGTCTTTGATTTCTTTCTCTGTTTTTTTTTAACTTTTACAAAAACTTTATTGAGAATTTCATACATGCATATAAGGTGTTTTGATCAAATCCATGCCCACTCCCTCCCCTCCAACACCTCCCATATGTCCCCACTGCTTTTTTTTTCCTTTTTTTTCTTCTTTCATTTATTATTTATTTATTTAGTTAGTCTTTTTTTGAGACAGGGTCTCCTTGTAGCCCCAGCTGTCCTGGAACTCACTATGTAGACCAGGCTAGCCTCAAACTCACAAAGATCCACCTGCCTCTGCCTCCCAAGTGCTGGGATTAAAGGGGTGCGCCACCACACCCTAAAATCTTTTAAGGATTAGATACAAGCTCCAAAATACTTTTGACATTTTTGGCCTTTGGAACAGAGTATGTTGCTAAGAGGCCCAAGACATTTTGACTTTTAGCCAAGAAACTGGCTACTTTTCTTTGGGGTCTTTGATTTCTTATCTCTACTTTTCTACCCTTAAACTTCACTGTGTATGTATTTATGTAACCTGCTTCAAGTTATTTCTGGAAAAATGTGTTAAAAATTACCTGTCCAGGGCATGGTGGTGCACGCCTTTAATCCCAGCACTCGATTGGGGGGGGTAAATATATGTTTCCTGCCTCTATAAGGTGCTGTCAGTCCCACTCAACTGTATACCAATTTCTTGTTTAGCAAGTATCTTTCTAAACTATACTTGCTTTTGAGCCAAATAGCTTATCCTACCAGACTGTGTGTCTTTAGGACAAATGTTAGAAAAATAGGCAAGGGGCTGGGCTGGAGAGATGGCTCAGCGGTTAAGAGCACTGACTGTGCTTGTAGAGGACCTGGGTTTGATTCCCAGCACCCACATGGCAGCTAACAACCATCCTTAACTCGAGTTCCAGGGGAATCTGAAGCCTTCTTCTGACTTCCCCAGCATTGCATGACACAGGTGCACTCACATACATGCAGGCAACACACTCATACACATTAAAATTAAAATAAAATAAAATAAAATAAATAAAATAAAATAATAAAATAAAAAAATAGGCAAGAACCAAAATTCCTAAATCCAGAATGTGACCCATTTTGCAGATCAAGGAAGAGATTCTTCTAACCAACCAAGAGTTGGAAGCCAAGGTCTAGGTGGCTGGCTACCTAATAAAATAAAATTAAAAAATAGGCAAGAACCAAAACTCCTAAATCCAGAATGTGTCCCATTTTGCAGGTCAAGGAAGAGATTCTTCTAACCAACGAAGAGTTGGAAGCCAAGGTCTAGGTGGCTAGCTACCTTATCCCTCTTGAAGATCTCTATTCTTGATATCTCCAACAGGTCCGACTGACTCCACCATGTAGCTGTGGCTTCTACGATGGCCTCCTGATCTTTCTGCTGCAGCTTCTTACTCAGGTATAGGTGTGTCTCGGGACAGATGAGAAGAAAGAGTCGAGATAGAAATTGGGTATTTTTTTGGAGTTACTGGATAGTAGAAATGAAGACGCAACCTATACTTGCCTGTCTTCTCAAACTGCTGTTGCCTGTGCTAACCTGAGAATTGCCCCACTTGGCCTCAGTAGGACCCTGAGGAGGAAGTTGCTTAACTGCGGCCATAGGCATCCTACTGAGGATCTGAAGCAAATTCTCTGGGGTTTGGATTTTGGTTGAGTTGGGATTTTTTTGTTTTGTTGGTTTTTGTTATTGTTGTTTAGCTGAAAATTTTTCTTCACTCAGGAGATAGAGGTAGGAGGATTAGGAGTTCAAGGTCATAAGACTCTGAATAAACACCAGAAAATTTTTTTTCTTTTATAGTTCCTGTACACAACTTGGTCTTGACATGAGCTGACTCCAACAGGACAATTCTCTGGTTTTCAGCAGGCACATACATGGGTTGAGAGATCAGGGGTTAAATAGCCACAATAGAGGAACATTAGCTAGATGTGATAGGTCACACTTATAATCCTAGGACTTGAGAGGCTGAGATAGGAGGATCATGAGTTTGAGGCCAGCCTGGATACACTGTGAGACCCTGTTTTTAAAAATAAGAAAGGGAATGAAGGAAGAAAATAGGGAGGAAGAGAGGGAAGATGGGAAAGAGAAAGGGAAAAGGAAGAAAAATATAGAAATATTAGGTGGGAGACAGAAGGAATGACTTCTGTGACTCTCTGTCACTGTAGTCAGGGACAGAAATGATAAAGGCATTTGTATACAACTATGCCTTCTGCACACCCTCCATCCTTTTTCACTTTGGTCTTCCCAACAGGGGAAGCCTAGCCTGATTAGGAATGTGGCTAGTTCAGAAGTGTGGACCATTCTATGGCACCGCTTTTCCATGGCTCTGAGGCTACCAGAGGAGGTGTCTGCACAGGAAGAAGAGCTGTCACTATCCAGTATACCCAGCCCAGAGCCAGACTGGACACTGATTTCACCCCAAGGTATCTTTCTCTGTTTGTAAGGCCAATGTATAGAACCCCTTTCAAAAGGAGGTGCTTAGACCTGGGTTAACCTATAGAGATACTGCTACTGCTGTCTGTAGAGAGGATGTCAGGGGCTACAGTGAACTGGCTCACAGATGGGGAAGGGACTGGATAGGTTATGGCCCTGGGGGAACAGGGGCATCTGGGCCTCTTGCTTGCTTCACTAGGTCTCTATTCTCTGTGGTTTTAGGCATGGCAGCCCTGCTGAGCCTGGCCATGGTCATCTTCACCCAGGAACCTGAATTATGCCTGAGCCACCTGTCCCAGCCTGGAAGTATCCTCATGTCTACCTTGAAACACCTACTTTCCCCCAGCTTCTTGCATCACCTGAGCCAGGCGTGAGTCTGAATGAGGGGAAGAAGAATAGTAGACTCAGAGTCAGAGCCAGCAATGGGGGGTGGGGGGCAGGAGAGAAATAGCTGGAAGCTTGAGTTGGGTGGCAAGAAATGGGCTAAGGATTAGGCTGGAAACCCAAGGAATTGCTGAGACTGGGGAAATAGAGCTAGGAGGAAAAACCTGAGAAAGGGAGGGAAGCATCATAAAGCGTAAGTCTGTTCTTCCCCCCTAGGCCGCAGGGGCCCCACTTTCTCCCTGTTGTGGTGCTCTCTGTGTGCCAGCTCCTCTACTTCCCTTTTGCCCTGGATGTGGATGCTGACCTCCTTGTGGGTATCTTGGCTGACCTCGGGGACTCAGAAGTTGCAGCCCACCTGCTGCAGGTACTTGAGGGAAGCTACCCATGTGTAAAGGTGGGAGAGGAAGATGACCAGTGTTGAGTTCTCTAATTCCCTTCCCAACAATTCCAGGGATCCTTTAGGTCCTGGAAGAGTGGGGCGTCTAGCTTGACTAAAGAGTTGGAGTGATGACAGCAGTCAGTCCCAGAGACAGGCAGTCAGGGCTGAGCTAGTGTCTTTTCTCCACTGATCTCTCACCTGGTTCTGTTGGCAATACCAATGTAATCCAGGCACTATAAGCTTGGCTCCTTGGTCAGAAATCACTTCCCTGGCAATCCTTGGTATTATGCTATGGGTCTTTGGAGGCGGAATAATTCCGAGCACTTGCAGGACCAGGTATAAATACAGAAAGAACCCACTCTTGGGCTCCACGTGGATTTCATGTGGTATGCTATGGGCCAAGGCTTCTTGCTACCTGGGGCATTTCTCCCCTTACCTAGCTACACTACCTCTCTTCCTGAACTCCTTTTAACCTGTACTCTCATTTGTCCCAGGTCTGCTGCCACCACCTTCCATTGTTACAAACTGAGTTGCCCATCAGTCTTCTTGCATGCCTAGCCCTAATGGATCCCACTTCTCTTAAGCAGTTTGTGAATACAGTGGCTGCTTCCCCTAGAACCATGGTCTCATTCCTCTCTGTTGCCCTCCTGAGTGACCAACCCCTGCTGATCTCTGATCTTCTGTCCTTACTGGCCCACACAGCTCGAGTACTGTCCCCTAGCCACTTGCCCTTTGTCCAAGAGCTCCTGGCTGGCCCTGATGAATCCTATCGGCCATTGCGCAGCCTCCTGGGCCACTCAGAGAACTCTGTGAGAGTCCGTACTTATGGGCTCCTGGGACACTCACTCCAACACAGCATGGCCCTACGTGGGGCACTGCAGAGTCAGGCTGGACTGCTTAGCCTTCTGTTGCTGGGGCTTGGAGACAAGGACCCTGCTGTGCGACGCAGTGCCAGCTTTGCTGTGGGCAACGCAGCCTACCAGGCTGGTCCTTTGGGACCTGCCCTGGCAGCTGCAGTGCCCAGTATGACCCAGCTGCTTGGAGATCCTCAGGATGGTATCCGACGCAATGCAGCATTAGCTCTGGGAAATCTTGGACCTGAAGGATTGGGCAAGGAGCTTTTACAGTGTCAAATACCCCAGCGGCTCCTAGAAATGGCATGTGGAGACCCTCAGTCAACTGTGAAGGAGGCCGCCCTCATCGCTCTTCGGAGCCTCCGACAGGAGCCCTGTATCCATCAGGTACAGCCAGGAGACTTGTGAGTGATGATGATCAGGGCCCCTACAGGTCACAACATTTTGCTGACATAGTCTGTGAGGATATCAAGAAATCAAGCTATGTCAGGTGTGGTGGCATATGCCTTTAGTCCTGGCACTCAAGGGGCAGAGGCAGGCAGATCTCTGTGAGACTGAGGCCAGCCTGGTCTGCATAGCGAGTGCCCAGGGGCTACAGGGAGCCCCTGTCTCAAAAAGACCAAAAAAGAAAGAAAGAAATCAAGCTATGTTCCTCTCTGGGCTCAAGAAACTCAGAGATAGGGTGTTGGAGATGTTTCCTATTTACTGTCTCCCACCCTAGAAGAGGGATCTGGAAGGAGGCTCTGTTGAGCTAAGACATGTGTAAAATCTCAAGAACCATACCTTATCTCTTCTAGACATAAGGTGACAGGGAGACGGGAGAAACCAGAAAGTGTTGAGGCCACAAAGGTGCCAACTGTTTTCTGATTTTTTTTTTCAGTACCATGCTAAGCATTTTGCCTTTATTATCAGGTTTAAGTTATCATTACCTCATTTTATAGGTGAGAAAACTGAGGCATAAAGAATTTAGTAACTTAAATTGCAAAGCTACCAGGTGGGACTGGGCTTTTGAATTCAGAAGTCTGAGTCTAGAACTTATTCTTACTAAACCCCACTTTATTGGGCCTCTTCTGCTTAATGCTCACTATCTAAAGAATCCAGTGGAAATCACACATCTGAGATAACATAGATTAGGTCAGTGTGGTAACATTAGAACCATAGACATATGAAAGGATGGGGATGGTATAGGAGTTTCTGGCAGTTTATGTGGGGAAACAATAAAAGAGACCATTGGTAGGAAATGAGGGATTGGGTTGGGACCCACTGGGCTGGGAATCAGACATTTTGTTTTACTGTCAGTCACTGCTGCTTTCCTTAACACCTTACAGGGGACAAGGAAATGGGTCCCCTGGTGATTTTGTTTTATGACCAGCACCCAAAGAGAATGGAAATAAACACCCTGGTCCTGATTATTCCTAGCTCTTAAGATTTCTAATCTTCCATTCAGTCTATTCTGAATCCCCCAAAGCCCATTTACCTTTTCTAGGCTAAAGGAGAGTCCTCTGCATGTGCCCTGGACACCACTGTTTCTTACCCTCACATCATGTTCTGCTTCTTACCCTGCAGGTGCTGGTGTCCTTGGGTGCCAGTGAGAAATTAGCCTTGCTTTCTTTGGGAAATCAGTTACTGCCGAATAACAGCACCAGGCCTGCCTCTGCCAGACATTGCAGGAAACTCATTCACCTCCTAAGACCAACCCACAGCACATGACCCCAGATTCCTGGGGTCCAGCCTCCAGCCTTCGTTACCCTTCTATTGCCAAGTCTTCCTTATTGTCCTACACAAGCCATTAACTCAGCTGAAAGCTGATGAGACTGAAAAAGAGTAATAAGTTGCCAACTCCCCTGAGAGCAAGAAACTAAAAAAGATTTTCACATAAAGCTCCCTCCTTCCCCTAGATTCATGATGATTTCAACCAGTAAACTTCATCACTGTTGCTGCCAGAGTAAATTCCTTCCTTTTCTACATCTAGGAGCCTTTCCTCCAATAATGTGCCTTTAACCCTAGGACAAGGTGCCCCAGGACCAGGCCTTAGGGAGACACCGCTTCCTTTCTGGATCTTCTGTATCCACTTAGCCATGTTTGCCTTGAGTACACTGGTCTCTATCGCAGCTTCAACCTATGGGGAGAAATGCCATCACCCCTACTGTTGAGGGGTTCCCCAGCCCTTAGCCCACATTCCTTCCATGGATGAGGAGTGTATCTTTTTTAAGATAAAAAATAATCTGTTTATAAACATTTAACTAAAAAATGTACCTTACCCTACTTGAAGCTTCCAAAGTAAGGGGTGCGGAGGCTCAGCCCCTTTGGTAGCTTCTCTGTAATACTGGAAGCTCTGTGATCCTGGTTTAGAGAATTACTTACATCTTCCAAAGCAAGGCCAGTGGAGCTGATATGGGAAAGAGTAGGGCTAAACAGCGAGGTAAATCAGGTTGCTTTGGGATGTTAGATACTAGTTTTAGTATTTAGTGCAATGTCAATGTGTGTGGAATCCCAGCTACTTTAGAAGAACAGCTATTTATGGAGACTGAGATTTACCAGAAAAGAGAATTTGACCATCCCATTAGAATTGTGATCTAACTAGACATGTCAATTTGTCAGGAAGGGTGTTTGCCAGACTCATTAGTAAGAGTCTTAACTGGACTCTTGGAAACCTAAATCTTGACTCATTGGATGGCCTGAGACAAGCTTTGAGGGCCCTGATTTCTGTGTCTGTTAAATGGGGAGATTCCTAGGAAGGAGTTCAGTGGGAGAGTGCTCGCCTACATTTATACGTGGTTCTTGGTTCAGTCCCCAGCACAGAGAAGAGGAGGGAGGAGAAAGGGGCTCCCTTCCTTCCTGAAATTCCAGATTTTTAAGAAATGAAAGATGAGTGAGATATCCTTGTTTTTTTTTTTTATTTTTGTTTTTTTGTCTTTTTTTTTTTTTAAGGATTTTTATGTAGTTCTCACATTATCTACTATATTTGGTTACATTTCAGCAAAAGTCCTTCTCCATTTCCTGTACCCAGATTATTTTAATTGAGTTCAACATATACTGTAGTTTTTTTCTATGTGTTATATACTGTTCAAGACACTGGAGATAAAACAGTGCCTATCTGACATAGAGTTTCCACTCTGGGAGGGAAAACAGTGAACTTATTTTAAAAAGTGATTTAAAGTTGGATGTGATAGCAGCTACAAAAGAGGCTGAGTCAGGAGGATCACTGACTCGGGCATCCAAAACCAGCCTGAGCAACATGGCAAGACCTCATCTCACAAAATAAGTGAATGAGATAAACAGTACAGAAAGGTGATTTTTAAAATGTTCTGGGAGCTGGGCATGGTGGCGCACTCCTTTTAATCCTAGCACTCAGAAGGCAGAGGCAGGTGGACCTCTCTGAGTTCAAGGCCAGCCTTGTCTACATAGTGAGTTCCAGACCAGCTGGGGCTACTGGGAGACCCTGTCTCAAAAATAGATAATAAATAAATACATACATAAATACATAAATACGTAAATAAATAAGGCTCTGGTAAGAGAAGCAGAGACAGGCTTAAAAGATTTTAAGTTGTGGGGGTTGGAGAGATGGTTCAGCAGTTAAGAACTCACTTGTTCTTGCAGAACACCCGGGTTTGAATCCCAGCACCCACATGGCAGCTAATAACTGTCCATAACTCCAGTTCCAGGGGATCTGACAGCTTCTTCTGTCCTCCTCGGGCATTGCACGACATGAGTGCACTTACCAACACGCAGGCAATACATGCATACATATAAAATAAAAATAAATATTTTTTAAAAATTAAAGATGTTAGCTGGGCATGGTGGCGCACGCCTGTAGTCCCAGCACTTGGGAGGCAGAGGCATGCGGATCTCTGTGAGTTCAAGGCCAGCCTGGTCAACATAGTGAGTTCTAGGACAGCTGGGGCTACAGGGAGACCCTCCTTCAAAAAGATAAAAAAAAAAATTAAAGATGTTGGGGGAGGCTGGAGAGATAGCTCAGCCATTAAGAGGACTGACTGCTCTTGCAGAGGACCTGGGTTCGATTCCCAGCACCCACATGGTGGCTATGAACTGTCCTTAACTCCAGTTCCAGGGGAATCCGAAGCCCTCTTCTGACGTCTGCGGTATTGCACGACACGGGTGCACTCACATGCAGGCAATACACTCATACACATAAAAATAATAAATAAAATATTTTTTAAAAATTAAAGATATTAAGTTGTGTAGTCAGGGTGTGTCCTTCCTTAGAAGGTGAATTTGAGCTCAAATGCTTGAAGTGGGGTGAGCAGTGCAGCTATCTGAAGGAAATGCTAGGGAGAGCACAATCACTTCAAAGGCCCTGAGGTGGAAGCTTGCCTGCCATGCTTCAGGAGCTATGAGGGAGCCAGCTTAGATAGTGCAGATGAAGATGGTAAAGGCCAGGCATGGGTGGCTCGTGCCTGTAATCCCAGCACTAGATAGGCTGAAGCTGGACTATTGTGAACTTGAAGCAAGTCTAAACTACATAGAGAGACCCTGTCTTAAAGAGGGGGAAAAAATAGGAGGAGTAAAAAGGGGGAGTAAGAGGAGTAAGGGAAAGAGGACAAGAAAGTAATGCTGGGGCCAGCTGCTGCAGGCTTTGTAGACCTTGAAGAGTGAATGCAGTTGGGATCCATTGAGGGTTGAGCAATATGCTTTACCTTATGTTCTAAAAAGGATCACTTTGGGGGTTAGGGAGATGGCTCTGTGGATAAAGTGCTGCAAACTTGAGGACCTGTGTTCCAATCCACAGCACCAACATAAAACTCACTCATGGTGGTGTACAGCTGTAAATCCATTGCTGAGGGGGGAGAGACAAGCAGATCCTCCTGTTTTGCTGGCCTGCCAATCTAGCCGAAAGAGTGAGTTCCAGGTTTAGCGAGACCCTGTCTCAAAACATAAAGTGAAAAGTGATAGAGGAGGACACCTGATGTTAACTTCTGATTCTGATCGCTGCACATGCATTCATGGGTGTGTGCACCCATACCCACACAGCACCCCCCACCCCACCCCACACAAAAAGAGTCACTATGTTCTGGTGGTATGAATGGACTGTGAGGTGCCAAGGAGGGCAGGAAGCAGGTGAGTAATTAGGAAACTATTGTAGTAGTCCAGGTGAGAGACAATGGCATCTTGAACTGGGTATAGCAATGAAGCAATAAAAAAAGTTATCAGATGTTGAATATAGTTTGAACATGAGGCAAATTGAATTTCTTGACTGATTGAATGTGGGAAGTGATCAAAGGTTAAGCAGATGACTTCAAGGTTCTGGCTTGAGTAATTTTAAGATGAAATTTTCAATGACTGAAATAAGGAAGACCACTATCAGAATGGCAATAGATAGGAAGATTCAGTTATGAACATGTTAAGTCTTTTAGTTGGGAAATTTTTAAATAAGTCAAAGGCCCAGTTCTCAGGAAGCAAAGTCAGGAGAATTCTGAGTGCAAATCATTTTTAGTGTGTGTGAAGATAACTGTGTGTGGGGGGGTAGGGATGCACATACCCATATGTACACATTTGGAGGACAGAAGTCAACATCAGATGTCTTTATTGTTCTCCACCTTATTATTATTATTTTATCTTTTGAGATAGGGTCTCCTTGTACTCACAGAGATCCACCTGCCTCTGCCTCCCAAGTGCTGGGATTAAAGGCATGCACCACCATGCCTGCTATGAACTCTTTTTTATTTATTTATTATTTATTTATTTATTTGTCTTTTTTTGAAGCAGGGTCTCCCTGTGGCCCCAGCTGTCCTGGAACTCACTATGTAGACCAGGCTGGCCTTGAACTCACAGAGATCCCCTTGCCTCTGCCTCCCAAGTGCTGGGACCACAGGCATGCACAACCATGCCCAGCCTTTTAAAAAAAAAAAATTTCCTTAAAGTTTTGTGTTTACTTTTATTTATGTATGTGTGTGCTTGTCTGTATGTACAACATGTACAAACAATGCCTTTAGAAGCCAGAAGAGGGCGTTTGGCGTTGGATTCCCTGCAGCTGGAGTTATAGATCATTGTGAGTCACCTGATATGGAAGCTGGTAACCAAACCCAGGTCCCCAAATCGAGAGCACAAAACACTCTTAATTCACTGAGCCATCTCTACAGCTCCATTTTGAACTCCTTGTTTGTTTTGAGACAGAGTCTCACTATCTGGTATTACCTGAGCTGGAACTCAACCTAGACCACGCTGGCCTCCAACTCACAGAGATCCATCTGCCTCTGCCTCCAAAGTGCTGGGATTAAAGGTGTGTGTCATCACATCTCACCTGACTCCACATCTTGAACTCTTTGTTTGTAGGGGTTTTTTTTTTTTTTTTTTTTTTTTTTTTTTTTTTTTTTACTCCCTGTAGCCCCAGCTGGCCTGGCACTCATTATGTAGATCAGGTTGACCTTGAACTCACAGAGATTTGCCTACCTCTGCCTCCCAAGTGCTGGGATTAAAAGTGTATACCACTACACCTGGCTCCCCATTTTGAACTCTTAGTCCTGTTTCTACCTCCCAAGTGCTGGGATCACAGGCATGTGCCACTATACTTGTCCATATTTTCTTTGTTCCTGTGTGTGTGGGGTGTATGCATGTGTACATGTATGTGGGCAGTTGCACTCACCCAGATGAACTTTCGTGGAGGTCAGACAGAGGTTGATGTTGGATGTCTTTCTCAATTGCTTCTACATTTTATTTTCTGAGATAGAGTCTCACTGAACCTGGAGTTTCTGTTTCTGTTAGACTGTGTAGCCAGCAAACCCCAGGATCTGCCTGTCTCTCTTCTAGGAGTGCTTGGGTTATAGATGTGTGCCATCACACTTAGCTTTTATGTGGGTGCTATGGATCCATACTTACCCAAGGCTTACTGACTAGGTTGGCCAGCAACCCCAGAAATTCTTTTGTTTCCCTGGTGCTGGGATTATAAACAAGCACATATCACCACATACTGGCTTT